AATCCCTGTTTTGATGGTAAATCTGACCAAAAGCGCACTTTTAGAACTAGCAGTGACATAACTGCTCCCACAGCTTTCAAGCAGCTCGGTTTACTACCAAATATGGCTGGCTACCCGGCTTAGCACCCGAGCTGTGCTGCTGAGGGTGGGCCCTCTGCGTGACCTTCAGTCCGCTGTTCCGGCCTGGGGGAACAGAGGGTACTGTTGCAGTAAATGCGACCCTTTCCCACACCTGTCTTTGCTCAGAAGGTAGAGGAGAGTGACCGAGACTGGCCTATGGCAGTGGGGAGCACCCCTCCCGGAAGGCACTCCTCTCGAGAACCAAAGGGAGCCAGACCCAGGTGTGTTACCTGTTTCTGTGCTTAGGCCTCAGACTCCCCCTCCTCCCGCGCAAGGCCACCTACCCTCCCCAGATCAGGATGCCATAAATACACCGACCCACGGGGCTGCAGCAACCCCAGAATTCTAATCCAGCTGTGACAAAAAGGCATCTTGCCCTGGCTGGTGTGGCTCAGTGGATGGACGGCTGGCCTGTAAAACCGAAAGATCACTGGTTCGATTCCCAGTCAGGGTGCATTTCTGGGTTGTGGGCCAGGTGCCTGGTTGGGGGCATTGGAGAGGCAACGGATCCATGTTTCTCTCCCTCTTTCTTTGTCCCTCCCTTCCTCACTCTCTAAAAATAAATAAAACCTTACAAAAAAAAAAAAAGGCATCTCAACCTCAAACCTCTCAGTTTTCCTGCTCACACATTTGCAGTGACATCAACTTCCAGGTGAATGAACGTACAGGAACAGGGTTTTGTTTCAGGATTTCTGGGTAAACCACTAAGGTCTTGGGTACCATTTTAGACAAACAATAGGGTAATATCCTCAATGTGACATTTCCTGGCAACGGAGTTTTCAAGCTTGGGAAAAGATGCACAGACCACAGATGAATCTTCTAAACTGTATTTGGAACTGACAAAACATTTGGAACTGACAGAAATCTTTCTGGAGACAAAGCCCTGAGCACAGGGTCTGTCTCCAGCCACAGAGTTCAACATCAACTGTACAGACAAAAGTAGCAACGAGGGATCTTTGGCACTGGAAGGGGTAACCCTTAGCTGCTCATACAACACCCAAACTGTACACCAGGTATTAGATTGATTGCTGGTTAATAGTTGAATTTTACATTTAAATTACCTTAAAAAGTTGGAAGGCCCAGCTAAGTTTTTCAGTATCAATATCCTAACCACGTGTAACACTTAGCACCCGAGGCAGAGACTTCTGTAAGAGATTTAAAGAAAACATAACGAGTACAATAAAGAGAAAGAACTTCCAATCTCAAAAGCATGTAGCCAAGTGTTTTTGTTGATCCAGCAAGCCCACACTGAAACGCAGAACTCTTACTGCTGTAATTTCTGCAGAAATTTTACACAGGGGTAGGACTTTCTTCTGTCTGAACTCCTGGATTTTGGAATGCTATGGATCACACAAAACCCAAACCGATCCGACATCATCACTCAAAACCACAACTGCACTGGTGACAACATATAAAATCTTCTAAATGCTCCATGATGTGTGGCCAGAATGAGTGACAAACATGTAATTCAACTTAATGATTCTAATATCTGATGGTGACTGTGAACCGTTCCAGATTCATGATCTGTAGGTGAGTTGCAATTTTGTTTCCAAACTCTAAACAGTATAGGTGAAGGACTTTATTATTTTCAGGTGTTAAAGCTCTTCATGCGATTACATGATTTTATTTTTTTAAGATTTTATTTTTAGACAGAAGGGAAGGGAGGAAGAGAGAGGGAGAAAAACATCAATGTGTGGTTGCCTCTTGCACACCCCGCACTGGAGACCTGGCCTGCAACCCAGGCATGTGCCCTGACTGGGAATCGAACCGGCGACCCTTTGATTCGCAGGCCGATGCTCAATCTACTGAGCCACACCAGCCAGGGCTACATGATTTTATAAAGACAAAATTAATCTAATACTGGGACCTTTCTATTAAAATGAACAGCAATGGTTTATCTTTGACTTCAGGTAATTTTCTTCAGCCAGGAAAGATTCCCTTTAGAAAAAGGCATTTCTTGAATTAAGTTCAAGTATAACATATTTGCCTTTTACTGAATGCTGGCTGGCCAAAAGTTATCTTGAACTGTATGTTATTTTTAGAAGTGTCCTGTTCCTTAGATCAGACAGAAAACACAGAGACAGATATTCATAAGCTTAAGGATAAAGCACAGGTATGGCTAATAGGAGTAACATTTAATTCCCTTCTCGGTACAAACCGCTCAGAGCAAGCAGGTTGCTCTGAACCATCACGGACCCCTGTGACCACGAGCACTGAAGGACACTTCGCTACCAACCATCACAGTTCTTCCAACTTTGTTTTCTGAAGCTCCGAGCTGAAGACAAATGACCAGCAGTAGTTCGTCTTTTAATACCTTTTACCACGGGCCTGGTCTCACTGCTTCGTACCACTCCTGAGAGGTAAGTGGCTCCCGAGACTTGGAAAAGTAAACTGCCTAACTTCATACCAAGAAGAAATGACAGAATTAAGGTACCTAATGATGTTTTTTTTTCCCCCTTTAAAGATACAGGTGTCCTTCTAAACGACATGTAGGAGTTCTGATATTCAGAAACATTTTAGAAGGCAAAGTTCATTTTTATCAAAATGATCTATAGACAGAAATGATTCATCAAGGAAAATCCCCAGAAAAGCTGACTTCGAATGAAGCAACACACTTGTGGTTTTAAATGAAATAATGAAACAGGCAAAACTAAGTCACTGAGCAAACTCCAAGCCACAAAACGTACATTTCTTTAGGAGGAAATGTTCTCTAATTTCCCCCTGAAATTTGAAGGAAAAAAAAAAAAAGGTCTGTTCATTTTACAACTCTCTCTGAATAACAGATTTTAGGGAAGAGGAGCAGAGCACACACCACAGCTAAATAAACCCACCAGCGCACTAAAGTGTATAAACACGGTATCAGCACCCTGGTTCTAGTATGTGAAGAACTCAACACTCAGCTTCTGGTCAGAGACGTAAATGCCACATGACAGAGCACGTCTGTCTTACACAGCAATTCAAAGGAACAGGATTTTGATAGGAAAAAAAATGCTGGGAGGCTTTTTATCCAAGTATCTGACAGTTCCAGAACAAAAGCTGGAATATTTTTATAGATTCCATGTAGACCCAATCAAAGGGTTAAGCTAGACACGGACAAGGCCATTTTCTTTTTTAAATATTTTATTTCTTTTTAGAGAGAGGGGAAGAGATAGAGAGGGACAGAAACATTGATGTGTGGTTGCCTCTCATATGCCCCCTACTAGGGACCCGGCCTGCAACCCAGGCATGTGCCCTAACCGGGAATCAAACCAGTGACCCTTTGGTTCACAGGCCGGTGCTCAATCCACTGAGCTACACCAGCCAGGGCTGACAAGGCCATTTTCTTACTATAGGCTCACAGATGTCATTAGGTGAAAATCTGGCAGACTCTCATGTTCCAAGGCTGAAGGAAATATATACTAAGAAAGCAGTGAGAATTGCGAAACCCATGTCACAGTGAAAACTTCAGTGAGAGAATAAGATTTTTAAATGTGTGTGCACTTGTGACGTGATTTAGGGTATCTTTCCACGTACTCTCAGAAGGTGAACAATCATCCGGACACCAAGGACAACACTGGCATCAGAACCCGCCGAGGCGGAACACCAGGGGCACTGCGTGTGAAACCGAGGGGACGCTTCTGGCGCCGAGCGTCTGCCTGGAATTTCTGCCGCACTCCTTCCTTTTCCATCACTCCCAAGTCCCCACCTTCCCGCAGGCAAAGCCACGCTGGCCTCCTCCAGGCTCTGACGACATGGATGTGAGTGTATGTGAATTCTCTGTCTCTCAATGAACAAATCTGCTTGAAGCTATAGTGACGTAAGAATTAACAGGCAGTTCTTTAGCTTAGCTAGGCTTACATGTTTAAAATCTTGCTTGTATTCTTAGAATTATGTAATTTCTTTATTCAACATTTGGTTTGAAGGAAACAGTGCATGTCTATTAATTATGCAGGATACATACAAACTTTCCAAAATTTCCCCGGCAGTCTCATCTGAGCTTATTTTTTGCTGAAGATGTTTAGAGATGCTGAGGAACTTCTCTAGGTCAAAATTTACAGATTTAAAAAAAAAAAAAAGCAACAGCAACAGCAGCAAAATAAAGGTAAATGCATGGCTAGAAAAATAAGCTTAAATTTTCCTGAGTTTCTTTTGTTTGAAGGTGGGAGTGAGAGAAACACAATGGAGAACAACAAAGAAACAAAGAAAAACAACTCCACAAAGGTGCTGTTCTACGATTCTCCTAGATAATGGACAACTGGTGCTTTAAAATCAAGACAGAAGGAAATAGTATTTTTGGAATTTCCAAGTCAGAAGAGGCCTGAGATAGTTCCCGCTGGGAAAGAGTGGGACGCCCAGAATGAGCGCTCCCTGGGGAGGCAGGAGCCCCGCCCCTTCGGCCCCTACCAAGCTCTGCCCGGCAGCGGCTCATAAACCGCAAGACAAACGACGTGAGCGTGGAGGGCAGGGCTCTCCGACACAATACAGGATTAAAAAAGGCAATAAAATATCGCAAAGTGTGAGTGTTATTGAACCATTAATGTTCGTCACTGACAAAGAGATATGCTTACTAATGTATTTGTGGGGAATAAACACTGAAATTCTCTTTAGGTCTATTTATAGAAAAAAAATCCCTGGTCTGACTGGTCTTCCAGGCAGAAACCTACATTGGCAGAAGTATGAAAATTATAACAATCCCACAGTCAATTATAAAAAAGAAGGAATTTGAACTCAGGCCTTCTGCCACACGCAGCACAAGAAGCTCTGGGCATTCTTAGCTTACGAGGAAATGTTTGTATTTCTTTCTTTCTTTTTTTTTTTTTTAAGATTTTATTTATTTATTTATTTTTTTAGAGAGGGAAGTGAGGAAGAAAGAGAGACAGAGAGAAACATCAATGGGCGGTTGCTGGGGGCCGTGGTCTGCAACCCAGGTATGTGGCCTGACTGGGAATCGAACCTGCGACACTTTGGTTCGCAGCCTGCGCTCAAGCCACTGAGCTATGCCAGCCAGGGCTGAAATGTTTGTATTTCTAACATTAACGTATAAAGGAAATACCATCGCCAGTTTCTTAAGAAACTAGAGAGATGCAGGTTTCTTCCGGATAGAGATTTAAGGCAGATCAAGCAGGTCCACGACTAAACATCCCATCACGGCTCATTTTCCAAGCGTGGCTTTGCTTTGTGATAGAGGAATCTTAATAATTCTAAACAAGGTCTCCACATTGCTATAACACTTAAATTATACACACACCATCAAAACAGGTACTGGCAATGCTTGATATTTAAAGGAAATCCTCAGTGAAGAATTTGTCTCCTTTGAAAATACAAACAGGTTTTCAAAGACCCGATACAACTCTGGGCACATGAATGAGATGCAAAGATTCCTCAAGTAAAGAAGGCAAGGTCTCAACCCCCTACTGTGGATTTACTTTCTGAGACTGGAAACTGAGTTTCTCCTCCTCACGTATTTGAAACCATCCCTGCAACACAAGAGGCACTTTCCATCAGGTGTAGCATCTGCTAAAACTTGAAACCCAGAGTAGAATTTGTTGAACAAAGTAAGAACACTGGCCTAATAGGCATTACCTTGGGATTTTTTTCCCCTTTAATATAAAAGGTATAACTACAGTGGTCCAATGTACACGTACAAAAAAAAGTTCTCATACTAAAAAAAAAAAATACCGTAATACTGTACATACAAAAACCGTTCAACAAGAATGATTTAAATATATCTGTTCCTTTCCGGATCTGGAAGACACAGAGGTGAAGTTCTGTCACCGTGTTATTGCCGGAACGCGCCTGGAACACGCGCCCAGGAGCACTATGCTTCCCTTCTTTCCCCCGGCCCAGCCCTGCCTTCAGAGTCCCCTGAGCTCGCGCCACAAGCCAACAGCATCCCTGAAGATGACCGGAGCCAAATGTTTACTCAATGGAAGTCATTATTCAGTGAGCCGCTGCTTACTATCAACTATGAAAAGCACAAGTTTCAAGCCCAGCCAAGATTAAATCCAGACGGAGGTCTTCCCATTCCCTGATTTGCTACTTGCGCTGCTTTTGTTGGACCCGGCTTTAGACCCCGCTTTGGCTTTTTTTTCCCGGGCAACGTGGGGGTTGTTTTGGTGGCTGTAGGCCTGGATCGCTAGGTCCAGGCGTTCCTGAGCCATTCTGATCTCCCGCTGCAGAGTCTCCAGGTCCGCTGGGAGCTGCTCCTCATGGCTGCCGTACTGTTGTTCCTGGGCGATGTTGGCTTTGTTTTGCTTGTAGGCGATCTTAGCGTTGGACAGTTCGGTGTACTGGATCTGATCCGGTTTGACAGCAATGTTATAGCCAGGGGGAGCAGATGGCGTATTCCAAGTGAAAGGGTAATTATAAACACCCGGGTCTTCCAGTTCCCTCCTTTTACTGTGTAGTGAGTCTCGGATGGTCCCAAATCCCAAATGAAGCATCTCCCAAATGTTAAGCAACAGGCAAAGGCCTGTAACACCGTACATTATCAGAAGGAAGATGGTCTTTTCAGTGGGTCTGGAGATAAAGCAGTCTATCTTGTGAGGGCAAGGGACTCTGCTGCACACGTAAGACGGGTGGACTTGGAAGCCATAGAGAAAATACTGCCCTATCAGAAAGCCCACCTCAAACACGGTCCTCGCCAGCAGCTGCAGCACGTAGATCTTCATGAGGCCGTCCTCCCGGATTCGCCGTCGGCCATCATGCTTGGGTTTAGGCTGGTTCTGCTCTTTATTTTCTTTCTCACTTTCTAACTCCATTTCCGGGTACATCATGGGATCCTCTTCGTGGTCCTCTTCTGTCTCTTCCAGAGCCCGGTGCTGCTTCCAACGCATCGCGTAGGGTTTGCTCCGGGCCGCCTTCTTGTCCGCTTCACCATGCTCCATCTTGGCGATCTTATGAATGGCGTAGCCCAGGTACATCACCGAGGGGGTCGCCACCAGGATGATCTGGAACACCCAGAAGCGCACGTGGGAGAGAGGCGCGAAGGCGTCGTAGCAGACATTCTCGCAGCCCGGCTGCTCCGTGTTGCACACGAACTTGCTTTGCTCGTCGTAGTAGATGGACTCCCCGCCCACGGCTGTGAGGACGATCCGGAAGACGATCAGGACAGTGAGCCAGATCTTCCCCACAAACGTGGAGTGGTTGTGAATCTCCTCGAGCAGGCGAGTCAGGAAGCTCCAGCTCATGGTGCCGGAACTGGCGCGCCCTGATAAACATGGAAAAATACCAAAGGAAACATCAACGAATATTAAGATTTTAACAATGAAATGTTTTACTGATATCTCTAGGAACTTTTTTTCTGCATGCTTGAAATCTAACTTCAAGGCTCATGCTAGAATGATTGTGAAAATAAGTAGCGTCTCACTCTACTACCCTTGGGTAGGACAATTCACCTCAGTCCATTAGCACTTGTTTAGGTGACCAAATTAGAAAGTCGAGTTTGCTCTGATGTCTTCCCTAGTTTAAAAGGTAAAACTGTAGCTATCACTTTAGATATATTTTTCAGACACCGTATACTAGATTCTTTACACAACAATTATTTGATAATGCCTTCAAAACTTTGTGAGATACAGATAAAAAATAAGAAAATATTTGGTCCAGCCTCGGCAGGTGTGGCTCAGTGGATTGAGTGCCGGCCTGCTAACCAAAGGGTCACCGGTTCGATTCCCAGTCAGGCAGACTGGGCATGCCTGGGAATTCCCAGTCAGGGCACAGCCTGGGTTGCAGGACAGGTCCCCAGTGTGGGGTGCACAAAAGGCAACCACACACTGATATTTTTTCTTCCCTCTTTCACTCTTCCTTCCTCCCACTCTAAAAATAATTAAAATCTCAAAAAAAAAAAAGAAAGAAAGAAAGAAAAAGGAAAAAAAGTAAGTAAATAGTCCAATTATGATAAGACTACCACATAATGGAGACACTTAGGCTAGACTCCACTGTGAAGAAGTACCTTATTAGGAAACTTAAATTTTAGACTTGGTGACAAAGTATTAAAAATAATTAAAAAGGTTCTGACTGGTGTGGCTCAGTGGATTGGGGTGTTGCCCCACAAACCAAAAGGCTGCCCATTCGATTCCCAGTCAGGGCACACGCCTGGGTTTCGGGCCAGGCCTTCAATTCGGAGTGTGTGAGAAACAACCACACATTGATGTTTCTTCCCACCCCTCTAAAAATAAATGTTTAAAAATAATAAAAACGGCCCTGGCCAAGTGGCTTAGTTGGCTGGAGCACTGTCCCATACACCAAAAGGTCAAGGGTTCGATCCCCATGCAGGGTGTATACAGGAGGCAACTGATCGATGTTTCTCTCTCACTTTGTTTCTCTCTCTAAAAATCAATAAAAACATATCCTGAAGTGAGGACTTAAAAAAAAAAAAAAAAAAAAAGCACCCTGGCCAGGTACCTCAGTTGGTTAGAGAATTATCCCAATATGCAAAGGCTGAAGGTTTGATCCCTGGTCAGGGCACATACAAGAATCAATCAATCAATACACAAATAAGTGGAACAACAAACTAATGTCTGCCTCTTTCTCGCCCCTTTCTCTCTCTAAAAACACTCAATTAACAAAATAATAATTTAAAAGATTCTGTATTACATTTAGAGTGAATGTTAAAAAAAATCTGCAAATTGAACTGTGAGGACACTAAATCCAATCAATAGGCAAATACATTTAAAATAGCATTTTGAAGGACAGTTTTATTCTGAGGTTCTCAGAACTATGTCCAGAATCCTGGTAAAAACCATCTAAATAAGGCAGCTTTTAAAAAATCCCTAATGTTATCCGTGACATTAAATACACCCAGCTTTTCTCCTCTCTCCCAATTTGCTTCTGCAGATTGTAGGCGGTTATCAGCACCATCGAAGAAGTTTAAACACACTTTACCTGTTGTCCGGAACTTCTGCTATCCAAAATTTTCTTACAGAAATGATGTCTTGCTTACAACTTTTCCAGATTCCCTCTGGAAAGGGGGAAAAGAAAAGAGACAACATAAGCTTCCTCCTACAGAAAACAATGGATCACTAACATGTCATTTTCAGGAAGAAACAAAGTTTTCTGTGTACCACAGGAATCAATCAGCATGAGACAGAAACAGGCTTGAGCTTGAATATCACTGTCTTCTCCCCCTGACACATGTGGCGGGAGGAACTTCACAGCAGAGACCCAAAGAATCTTAAGACATTGTAGTCTAAGACAATACGACAGGAAGATGAGTCACTCATGAAAATCGAAGCAGATGAACTCATGCATCTATAGGAAAAAGCCAAAGCGGAAAAATGTCAACAAATTTAAACTGGGTCACCAAAGGCCTTGCGAAAGGGCTCACCCCATGCGCTCTGTTCCCGCTCTGTCCCTGGAGCAGCCAACACTTCTCGCTGGGGAGTGAGCGGCCAACGAGGAGCAGGCTGTTGAGCTAAAACACCCAACAGCTGGTTCTCAGTCACTGGGACACCCATGTCCCACCGGAGGTAGGAGGTGATTCACATATTCAACTGCTCACAGAAAGAAAACAGCTGCATCTGTATTGTAGTTAAAAAAAAAAAAAAATAACAAAACTCAGCCCTGGCTGGTGTGGCCCAGTGGACTGAGTGCCAGCCTAGGAACCAAAGGGTCACCGGTTCAATTCCCAGTCAGGGCACATGCCTGGGCTGCAGGCCAGATCTCCAGCAGGGGATGCTCGAGAGGCAACCACACACTGATGTTTCTCTTCCCTCTCTTTTTCTCTCCCTTCCCCGCTCTAAAAATAAATTTTTAAAAAATCTTAAAAAAAAAAAAAAATCCAAGACAAATTATTGCTCATTATCAAGGTCTGCCAGCTTTGCAAAGCTATGTCCAAGATCCACCATTCGATGCCGACTTTGTTCATTTATTAACTTAGTGAATAAAATTTAAACAATTCCTAAGTGTCATGTGCTCACAGTAATGTAAAAATATTTTGGGTGGGGTAAGGGGAAGGAAAAAACCCAAAACAATGTTCAAAAGGCCAATGGAAAAAAAATAGAAAGAAAGAAGTGCAGCACCTACATCACGTGTCAAGACTCACAAACCATCCTGACCACGCAAATTTCACCACAGGACTTCAGCCGCTCCCATCTGAGTCCCCGCTGTCCGGCTGAGCTCCCCACTCCCCACTCACTGACTACACACACGTTATAAACCACAAAACAAGTATGTAACACGCAACCATTAAATGGTGATCGTAAATCAGGCTTTCGAAACTCCATCCTTCTTCTCACACTCGTGAGTTCAGACTCAGCTTTGCCCCACCGGCCACATCTACGGCACTTCCCAAGCCTGCAACTCGATTCGCTCCAGAGCGCCATGAAAGTACGACCATCACCTGCTTAGAAGAGTCATCTATCTCTATACTTCCATCCATACCACAGGTATCTTTTAAAATAATTATTGCTATGCAAGAATTTCTCAACGGTCCAGCATCTCATTTGTGGGGAGGAGAAATGGGCAACAAGCCCTTCAAGGCTTATGGACGTCATAAAGTAGCCATTTAAACACATCCGAAAGCACACACCATGTACCAGTTACGTTGTAGGCCTGGAAAGTGCTAACCCCTAGAGCCGGATTCTCCACGGCCGGGCACTCCTGAGAGCCACAGCACCCTACATCCGTATCTGGGGCACAAAGGATGTGTTCAGGAACTCAGCGCCGGCATAAAACGGGGGAGGACAACTTTCTTTCTAAGGTAACCATGGACTTCCTAAACTCAGCGGCATGGCCGCCACTGCTTCTCTCTCCTGAGCAGTCAGTCAGTCAGTGGGTTTTCCTTTCACACTCTTCTTTCTCCCCTTTGCAAGCATTGAGAGAATGGTTTACACACCACAGAGTGTATTTCCAACAGGATGGTGGGGGAAAATGGGGGGGCGGGGCAGGACAGTGAAAAGAAGAGGGTGGGGGGGAATTGAGTAGAATGGTGGGTTCTGGAATTAACATTTCTAAGCAGAACTTGTCACTGCCAAGTGTGGTCTCATTGTGTTCCTGCTCCACTAATGCACCAAACTTTTTTTTTTTGGCACTCTGCTATCAGAAGCCTTATGATTCAGGACATATTTTTCTCTGGCTTCCAAACAAACTTGGTAATAGAGCAGGGAGAGAAGAATGTGCGATTAACCTGTAAATGGCTCTTATGAAAAAAACTAGAAACCAGTTGCATACTCCATCTATGAACAGAAAATGACATGGGAACATATCCCAGGTGCTGGCCAGAGATGGGGGAATGAATGCCAAACACCCCACTATTTAGGAACGCCCCAACTAACTTATGTGTACTTTTATACTTAAAATTTTCTTGAATATATCCTTTAAGCTTTGACTGAATTTATCTACAAATTCTAGTTAAGTGATATTATTAAGTCCAAGAAATGCAAACCTGCGTGGCTCTTGTGTTGTACTGTTAGCTGACGTTCTAAGAGGGTCCTAGCAATTGACAATGCCGGGCAACATATTATTACGATTTCACTTCAAACTCATCAGCAGTTTGATATACTACTAGTATTTCAGAATTATGTCAATTTGTATGTTTTTTTAAAAGAGGTATTTATTTTTTAGAGAGAGGGGAAGGGAGGGAGAGAGAGGAAGAGAAACATCGATGTGCAAGAGGAACACAGGTCAACCAACCGCCTCTCACACGCCCCCAGCCAGGTACCCGGCCCACAATGCAGGCCTGTGCCCTGACCAGGAACCGAAATGGGCTGTGGGACCACGCCCAACCCACTAAGCCACACCAGCCGGGGTTCCATTTGTTATGTTTTTAATACAAGAGGATACACATCCTCCATATTTCCCCCTCACTGTGGACTAGGTTCTATCCCTTTGCTCATTTATCTGCAAAATGTAGTCTTAATACAGACATTAACCATTTGACATTTAATATAAACACCTCATTTTATTGTCTTCAGATTTTATTATTTTATATAGTCATATCAATTTCTTGAATAAGTTTAACATGGGGAAAGTTACTCTTTCAAGAATAGCTTTAAAAATCTTTATCATAAATATATATTTTTTAATTTAAATTTTCAATTACAGTTTACATCCAATATTATATTAGTTTCAGGGGTATGGTATAGTTGTTAGACATTTCTATAAAGTGATCTCCCTGATAATTTAAGTAGGATGGCTTTTTAAGTAAGGAACACTGCAATTCACTGTAGCCCATAATTCAAATGGACTCTCTCTCTCTCTCTCTCTCTCTCTCACACACACACACACACACACACACACACAACAAATATTGGAGAAAATCATGTTTCCTTAAATAACATTTATTGGACAGAAATCAAATGTGTTACTTTTAGTCAATTTTCCTAACAACTAAATTTACAAATCTTGTTTGTCTTGAACTAGAAAACAAAATTAAAAGTTAGCTGGCAGTGGGGAGGGGGTCTGGGGGAGGGTACAGGGACTGAGCGAAAAAGAAGGAGCTCACGGACACGGAGGGCAGCGTGCAGAGTGCTGAGGGGAGGGAGCGCAGAGGAGTGTGCGGCGGGGTAAGTGGGACGGGCGGAGACTTGACCTGGGGTGGTGAGACACAGTGTGCCGATGAGGTGTTGCAGAACTGTGTGCCTGAAACCTGTATTTTTTTTTAAAGATTTATTTTTAGAGAGATGGGAAGGGAGGGAGAAAGACAGGGAGAGAAACACTGGTGTGTGACAGATACATTGATGGGTTGCCTCTTGTGCACCCCCTACTGGGGACCTGGCCTGCAACCCAGGCATGTGCCCCGACTCGGAATCAAACCGGAGACCCTTTGGTTCGCAGGCTGGCACTCGATCCTCTGAGCCACACCAGCCAGGGCTGAAATCTCTGTAATTTTGCTGGCCAGTGCTACCTCAGTAAATTCGATTAAAAAACAGGTGGGGGGGGGGGGATTAGCTGGCATCAACATGGTGATAAATTATGTAATCCCCTCCCAAATTCCTTATATCTGAAGAGTTTTTTGTCAGTTACGCCCTAACAGGACCAAGTCAAAGTCACTGCATTTTTCTGTAAAACAGAACTCAACTGGATTTTGAAGATTAAGTGTACATTATTTGGATTCTCTCAGGAGGCAGATTATATAATTAGGTCGATTTTTAAATTAAAGAAATGAGGTCCAGAAAGCTTAAAAAATTTGCCTAAGGTTATCCCGTTATTAAGTGATTAAGCCAGAATCTGAAATGAGCCAGTCCTGCTCCAGGATCTGGGCTCTTGACCACTAGTAAGGAATTACATTACAGACGGAACCATGTATCGGTTCCAGATGAACACAGAAGAGGGGCCTTATGCCTTTTTTTGGATAAAAACTAAATAACAAAATAAGCTTGCGAAGATCAAAGGGAGAAATTTCAGAGTTTAAGATCTTATCATGCAAAATTAGAATTGGAAAAACAAACCACTCAAATCCAAATACTGTAGAACTCCAAGGTTTCCTGGTAGCCAGGAGGGAAGAATAAAAGTAGAAAAATGGTATCTTGAAGCAAAAATGACTTAGTGAAGAAGAATAACTCATTTAGCACCGAGAACAGGGACTAGAGCACTTAGTGAATGCAGTCCAGGGGACGCCGAGGCTGGGATGTCAGTACTCGTTAGCAGGGGGTGCAGATGGTGCACACCCGAGGCGCCCAGAGCTCTGCCTGGCCTCCAGGCAGACCCCGTCCGCTGTCCCCCTTACTGCCAGTGCTGCTGCCGCTTCAAAAGACGTAGGAAAGCCAGAGGAAGTCATCCTCAGCAAGCCAGCACTACAAGAAATGTTGAAAGAAGTGTTTCAGGCAGAAGAAAAGTGACATCAGATGGAAATGTTAATCCATACAAATGAATAAAAAACACGTAACTAGAAAAGACATGATATATTCTTTTTTTTTTAAAGATTTTATTTATTTTTAGGGAGGGAAGGGGGGAGAGAGAGAGAGAGAGAGAGAGAGAGAGAGAGAGGAACATCAATGTGCGGTTGCTGGGGGTTATGGC